GAGAGAGAGAGAGAGAGAGAGAGAGAGAGAGAGAGAGAGAGAGAGAGAGAGAGAGAGAGAGAGAGAGATGTCGTAAAAGTGTGAGAAAAAGAGAGATGTGCGTTTGTGTGCGAACATAGGCAAATAGAAGCACATATGGTGAGGGAAAAAAATGCACACATTTGAAATCCTAATCTCCCGAAGCTATCTTTATTTTCAATATATTGATAAAGTTTCAATTCTTTTGTTGAACTCTTTTCTAATCGAATTTAACGCAGGGAATTAGGAACATTGCCGGTGTCGTTGAAATCGATTCCCTCCGCGGAAGGATATTTCGATATGTTGTTTTCACCTCTTGGTCATCCAATTTTAGACTTGAGGATGTTCATGGATGAAGAGCTTGCAAAATGGAAGGAGGATAGCGATTCGGTGCCTAACAAATATGACCTTGCGACGCTTTTGGATCGGGCACGGACCTTGGCGAACGAGGGTCTGAAGAGCGTCGACAATTATTACCATTCACTCTGAGTATTGGAGAAAGAGCGAGAGCGGTTAGAAAACGATATATGTTATATTAACAATCAGATGAAAGAGTGAAAAATACGTCTGAAGCGGTGGGAAAGGATGAGGTGGAAAGATACTTTAGAGCGAGTAGGAGTGGTGAAGGCGTTGGAGGTTGTTCATCAAGGAGGACATGAAGTACCATGTGTCCCTTCGGATCCAAAAAAAAGGTCTCGCGAGGCCACAATTGATTCGAAGTCACCTTCACGTGAGCCTTTGAAACCATGCATTGATGATCCGTTTTGCATTTTGCAAAACATATGGCCAAACAACGATGAGTACACACAAGAAGACTTATGTGATGAGGAAATAGAAAGGAGGAGATACAGGGGCTTGCTCATGTACTCTATTGATGCGATCAAACATCTGAAGAGCGAGTTCAAAGTTGATAGATGCGGAACATCTGACCAAGTGCCTCCAGAGCTTAATAAGCACAAACATAATCTGGTAGATAGGACTGATGAATTGATTGAAGCTTTGGTTCTTCACGCTGCACAATATGACGAGGGGGATAAGTGATTGAATTATGAGCATCGAATCCCAATAGGTATACAAAGGTCGCTGTCATGACAGTGTGCGACTCGCTGAGGTCCAGATGTGACAAGGACATCGACGCAACAAAGGCTCTGCGTTCGCGAAGAAGAGGTATCACGACATCAGACGAATGTTGGTGCACGTCTCGTACAGGAACGAAACAGAATTCGAGATATCACACAACATGAAAACTCTGAAGAAGTGAAGACTTTACGAACAAAAACGGAGCCTTGGAGGACTATTTTGGTCGAAATGCACCGCGGAGCGAGCAAACGGAAATTACAGATGGAAGAAACGGAGAAGGGAGATAACAACATTGACATCTGGCGCAGGGAGCAGTCTTCGAAGTATACTTCGAAGACGAAGTCGGTACGAAGGAAAACAGTGGGTGGTGGAACACCTCTCGCTCCAACTAAGCATGTCACAAAAAACAAACGGGACCACAACAAGGGTGAAGCGACTGATGTGGAGAATGCTCAAGTAGGAGGAAGCGGTGAGGATATCGAAGGAAGCATGCGTTGTGGTCGCCAGGCGGGCGAAAGCAGTGGAGGCAGACACATTGGAGGTCGCGACATTCAGTACAGGGAGCGGCATGTGGAACAACAAGGTCGACAAGCATCATCGACAGAGTGCGAGGACCAGCAGCTGGAGCAGAACGAACCAAATTCGGAAGAGGACGAATTAGAGGACGAGAACAACAGAGACAACGACGATTTTGGTGAACGTGAATCGAATGAAGATGAGGATGATGATAATGAAGAGATTCGTGAAGACGATGACGAGAATGACGCACACTGCAGGAACGAGAAAGCAATAGGTAAAACATTTTGTGAAATCCTGTGAAATTGTTTGTAACATTAAAAAAATATGGAAGAAAAAAAGAACAACATTCAAAATGAATCTCGTATATGCATTCTCGCTTTCGATCTGTATGTTCTTAACGAACAACTAAAAGTCATCGTCATTATTATTGCATTCTGAATTTTTATTTTTCTCTTTGTCTACTCGTTCTCTGTGTCTGTGCAGTTATGCGAGAACGTGAAAAACGGGATGCGTCAGAGAAAAGCAAGGTCAACAACCGCATAAGTGACAACATCCACACGTTATATGCGCACTCCAAAATAGTGAAGCAATTTGATGCGTTGCGTAGCGAAGACCTTTTGTTTATCTCGAGCCAAGAATGCAGAGATGTATCCGTCAGTCGACACGTATGTGGATGCCTTCATGGGTCTCATCGAATCTTTGAACCCGAATACACGTTTCGTCGTAGATCGGTCGATGAAGAGCACAACACTGACAACACTTCGCACACAGGGATCAAGGGAGTTGACGAACATCAGAGGAGAGATCGCTTACGATATCATTAGGTCTTTTTGGAGCGCCGCGGAGTTGCCTTATCCATGCGGAACTGTAAGAGATAATTTTGAAAAAGAGCGAGAGGAGATGAGAACGAAAATGGTCGAAGATTCATCATGGAGAGTGAGAGGCGAAAAGTCATGGGGCGCAACAGAGTTTAAGAATGTTGTGCAAGACGTTTTATACAGAGATTGAAACGAAATAGGTCGAAATAGTTGCACTTTTCAACAACTCGCATTCGCTCATATAGTGCTAGATTGTCACATCAGCAACAAAAGTCGGCATGCACGCACAACAACAGCAAGCAAAGAAATGCGAAGGATAGAAGAAGCCATCGTGACAACTTGCAAGACCGGTATCGAAAAAGTGATTATAAATGTAATCTCTCTCGATTGAAATAAAACCGTTGTGCAGAGTTCTATGAATATTTGGGAACGACAATTTGCTGGCAGAAAAAATATAAAAGATGAGGTCGTTCAAATGAAGAATGATCATAAATTTTTGGAAATTTTTGAAGATAGTGACGAGGTGATTGCTGAGGAGAGGCCTTAGAGGGTTCGTGGCATCAGTATTTTATAATTTTTGTGTAGTACTTTGATTTAGTGTACAACAAGGTGGTGGTGAAGAGGTCGTGAGACTTGAATATGATATCGTGGAGTGTGTGTGTGTGTGTGTGTGTGTGTGTGTGTGTGTGTGTGTGTGTGTGT